ATTTGTGTAAAACTGAGGTGTAGTCTCAACAATCCTTTCAAAGACTGCACCTTTTGTTGTTCTTCTCTTCCTCATGCTTGCAGTTGCAGCTGCACTTTCTTTTAGTGGAGCTGTTTCGGTTGTCATTTCTTAATCTACTCAAATTTCATATTATGTAATTTGAATATAAAAGAGATTTTATTGAAAGCAACTTTGTCTAAAAATTTTTTTTTGACTAAAAATAATTAAAATAAAAAAAAAACTTATTTTTTAAGGGTAAAAAAAATTTGTCCTTTTTTTATTTGCTTAGTTATAAATTGACAATTGTTTTCCATTAATTGTGAATTAATTTTTGATAGATTTAGCAAAAACACCAGTAGACGGACCAATGAAGATCTAAGAATTAGCTGACAAGTAAGTTTTGAATATAAAAGCAAGGTTATCTACCACTCAATTCGTAGTTTATAAAAATAAAAAGTTTCTAGAAATGCAAATATCCTTTAACAAACAAAACAAATCAAAAATTACCACGCCTTCACTTAACAGTCCTTTTTAATCGGCCTTTCTTCTAGTCTTGGGGTGACTGCCACTTGGAGGGGGGTAGCCTTACCAACCAAACTCACGTTCACCAAACAGCTCTTCAAGCTAGCTAACCAATTCTATATCCATCTAAAATGTTTATGTTCCTTCTTTTCTTATAAATAAACTGAGATCTTGTCCATTCATGTTACACTCTCTGCTCTACTCTTCTCCTTCCTCATCACTAATTTGAACACTTTCCACAAAAAGACTGAAAAACCAAAAAGAGAGAAACACCCATGGCTTCATTTCTTGTGTACTCTATACTCTCTCTGGTTTTTCTGTATTTCATTTTCGCTACCCTGAGGAAGCGCCACCGCCTGCCTCTCCCTCCAGGCCCAAAACCATGGCCGATCATTGGAAACTTGCCTCATATGGGCCCAGTGCCTCACCACAGCTTAGCAGCCTTGGCCAAAGTTTATGGGCCTCTCATGCACCTGAGGTTGGGATTCGTGGACGTGGTGGTGGCGGCGTCGGCATCCGTGGCGGCCCAATTCTTGAAGGTGCATGACTCCAACTTCTCGAGCCGGCCGCCCAATTCTGGTGCCAAGTATGTTGCTTATGACTACCAGGACCTGGTGTTTGCGCCTTACGGACCGAGGTGGCGGATGCTCCGTAAAATCAGCTCCGTCCATCTATTCTCCGGCAAGGCTTTGGATGACTTTAGACACGTTCGCCAGGTTAATTTGGTCACTCTACTGTACTGCTACATGCATTAATTTTTGCCTTTGTACCTACTCTCTTGTCTCTGACTAATTAAAATATAACACAAGTGTCACAAGGTGTACTTGTTACGGTTTATGAAAAATTTTGATATTAAATACGCACAATACAAGTTGAGAGTAATATAGTTATGATCATCAAATGTATTGAATTGAAGCTTTGTCTTTGTAAAAGTGTGTAGGTAAGCTTTGATTTTGTTGAAAACCAATTGGAGTATAATATTTTGTAGATATTGTGATTTGAGCAGGATGAGGTAAGGGTGCTTGTACGAGCTTTGGCAGGTGCTAAAACAAAGGTGAACTTGGGACAGCTGCTGAACGTGTGCACAGTGAATGCGCTAGGGCGGGTGATGCTTGGGAAAAGGGTGTTCGGTGACGGTAGCGGGAAGGCTGATCCGGAAGCAGATGAATTCAAGTCCATGGTTGTGGAGCTGATGGTCTTGGCTGGGGTTGTCAACATTGGTGACTTCATTCCAGCGCTGGAGTGGCTAGACTTACAGGGGGTACAAGCCAAAATGAAGAAACTCCACAAGAGATTTGACAGGTTTTTGAGTGCTATCCTTGAGGAACACAAAATTAAGGCTCGAGATGGCAGTGGGCAGCACAAGGATTTGCTTAGTACGTTGATTTCTTTGGAGGACGCTGACGGCGAAGGAGGAAAGCTCACCGATATTGAAATCAAAGCATTGCTCTTGGTACTCTTCTCTGACTACCATAACATCTTTGCTTCGCTTGCATGACTCAAGGAACATAGATCCAACTTTTATCGAAAACAATTATTTTTTTTTTAAAATTAAAAAAAAATTCAAATTACATCGTATATTAATCAATAAATTAAATATTTAAATATTTTTATTTTGAAAGTCAGACAAGCGTGATCCGAAAGAAACATCGTTGCATTTCTGGTGGGCCTGGTCCACATGCTCTCCCATTTGATAGTCCTGATGATGCACTTTCCTCGTCAAAATTATTGCTAGAATGGGACAATACTTTGTCACGTGATAAAAGCAATTCTCTTTTGCACAGATCTTGAGATCGATAGGATAGCTTCTACTACAATTTGTTTTAATTATCGGGGTTACTAGTAATGTCTGCACTTCTTCATATATGAATTATGTTAAGTTTATTAATATAAAGCAGTTTGGAATTTGCAACACCTGCATCTGTATTAGTTCTAATTTCCTTTGATATGATTGCAGAACATGTTCACAGCGGGTACTGATACCTCATCAAGCACTGTGGAGTGGGCCATAGCAGAACTTATTAGGCATCCCAAGATCTTGGCCCAAGTCCGAAAAGAGTTGGACTCAGTTGTGGGCCGAGACCGGCTTGTCTCAGACTTAGACCTCCCCCATCTAACTTATTTCCAAGCAGTGATCAAGGAAACCTTCCGGCTGCATCCATCAACACCACTCTCCCTCCCTCGGATGGCATCCGAGAGCTGTGAGATCAATGGCTACCACATCCCTAAGGGTGCCACACTGTTGGTCAACGTATGGGCCATAGCTCGTGACCCTGACGAGTGGAAGGACCCGTTGGAGTTCCGGCCCGAAAGGTTTTTACCCGGGGGTGAAAGGCCCAACGCTGATGTCAGGGGAAATGATTTTGAGGTTATACCATTTGGCGCTGGACGTAGGATATGTGCGGGCATGAGCTTAGGGTTGCGTATGGTGCAACTATTAGCGGCTACGTTGGTGCATGCTTTCGACTGGGAGCTGGCTGATGGATTAATGCCTGAGAAGCTGAACATGGAGGAAGCTTTCGGCTTGACGTTACAACGTGCCGCGCCATTGATGGTGCACCCTAGGCCAAGGTTATCCCCGCGTGCTTATTAAGCAGTATCTCACCTCATCTTAATGTATCTAGCTATTTGTGTGTTCACTGTTGAGAGTGTTATTACAGATAATACTTGAATGCACGAATTTAGTGACCCGAATTTGCTTGGAATAGTTTTGGGCTTCTTTTTCATCTTCCTGAATCTTGCATTGGGTTGGAACTGGTTGGCAGTTTACTTCTTAATGGATACAAACTTTGATATCATCAAGACAGAAATAATCCAACCAGAGTTACAGATACCTATTTTAAGCAAATACTATATTATTACATGCTTATGAATGCTTTCTCCCTCTTGATTTTCTCTTGTTTATTCTAAAGACGTAGAAAGCATGGAGTAAGATTATCAGCATTTCATTTTCAAATGATGAGATTCAATGGGCTAAATTCATTTGCCCTTGAAGGTCGAGTAGATCATGGTGCTCGTTGTTCCAAAAAAAAAAAATTGGAAAAATGTATAGAGAAAGCCACTCACGATTTATAGGAGAGTCTTTTAATTAAAATTTTTAAGACATAATTGAACTATTTAAAAAAATTTAAACAAACTCTTACTCTTTTATTGTATTTAAAAAAAGTTTTATATTTTTATTTTAAATTAAATAATTTTTTATTATAATCAATAATCAACTAATTATTATTAATCAAAATATTATTTTATCATTTAATATTCACATGATGTTGACATAAAGAGTAAAAGATATCATATGATTATACCACATCAACACGTCACATCATCATTTCACTATAACATATCAAGGGATATAAAGAAAAATATAATTTTATTAACAACAGTTAATCAATTATTAGTTAATCAATTATTAGTTATAAAGATTTATTTGACTTAAAAGTATAAAGATTTGATTGAACATAATAAAAGAATAAAGATTTATTTAAATTTTTTTAAATAATTTAGAGTTTTTTTAGAAATTATGTTAATTATTTAAATTGCTTGTTACAAATGATTAAATAAAAATTAGAAAAAGTGATAATAAAAATAATATTATCTACTTATTAAATTAATTTTTAAATTTAATTGACTTATGTGAAGTTATTTCTAAAAGTGTAAACAACCAAACTAAATTATCTTCTTATAAGCTTAGTTTGTTAAGGTTTATTGAAGCTCAAACTTTGAGTAAAATATACCAATCTTTTTTATTTTTGATCAGAATTACACATGAGTTTAGTAGTTTTTAAAATAAACATTCCATTTCAAAAAAATATTTTCGCTAGACTCATAAGCCTTGATATTAATCAATTATTAATATTTCTTGTAATTTAATTAAGTGATAATATCTTTAAGATAAATTTATTTTTCATTAATTTTAAAAATTACCACTACATAAATTATAATTTTTTATATTAAATATTTTTCTTTTTCAAAAAAAAATCTTTTCATCAACCACTCGCTATTGATAACACTCCCCAAAGAAGCACCAGTTTGAGGCTCCTCAAGTGAGATCCATTCGGATTTAACATTTTATAGCCAGATTCGATCGTAGGTGGTTGATCAATATAAGAAAATGTTATCAATTAGAAAAAAAAAAATAAAATATTTTATATTTAAATATTAATACGGTTTACACATTTACTTGAAACATTTATTTTAAAAATCAATAAATACATGTATAATTATGAACAAAATTCCATTTATTAGAATTCACCTTCACGAGCACCTTTATAACTCTGACAAAACGACATCGTTTTCGTCATCAAATTCCATTTATTAGAATTCACCTTCACGAGCGCCTTTATAACTCTGACGGAAACGACATCGTTTTAACAACGCTATATATGTAAAGTAAATCTCTCCTTCCAGAATCAAAAAACAATTCTGTCCTGACACGGGGAGTGGGCGTTTAGAAAGTTATATCATTATCATGCACTAAGCGCTGTTCTAAAGTCAACTGACGCAAAGGTCTCCTCGTTGCTCAAATCTTATACTATTATGACTCTTCGATTCTAGTATTTGTTTGTTTAATTAATTTTATTTTTTATTTTACTTATCAATCAATCTATCAAATTCGAAACCTTTGTTTTTCTAAAATGATCAAATCTCGAATTTGCAATTCCTGCTGTTAATCTAGGGTTTCCCGTCCCAAATCCCGAGATGCCAAACAATCTTCATCTGATCATCACAAACTCTTCCGTTTCTCCACCTCCGATCTCAAATATCAACGGTCAAGATGGTCAAAGTGATCGACAATGCCACGGGGTCTGGTACGACGCCTTACTGGTGGTCTCCGCGGTGCTATTCGTGGTTTACTTGGCGGTGAACGCTAAGAAGAACGTGAACAAGCTGAGAAATGGAAGGTCGTTGGTTTTGATTTCCTATTATGCCCTTCTCTGGCTCGCTAGTGGACTCAACCTCGCTTGGTGTTCTCTTCAGGTATAACTCTGGCTTTTTGTCTTTTTCACTAACAGAAATATATTATTTAGATTTAATTGTGAGCTTAATGAAATTTCTTTTGCTCTTTTCACTGTTAATTTGTTGAATAAAAGTTAAGAAAAGAAATGAATAAAAGGAATTTGAGAAATTGATTTCTCTTTTGGAAAATGTTGGTAAGTAGTTAGGGATGATTAGAGCACTAGTTGATTGCTTCATTTTGATAGTTCCTTTTAACTGAATATAAGTTTGTTGTTTTACTATTTGCTTTCCCTTGGCAACTGTTGAGGAAGTAAAAAGCAAATAGAAAAAGTAACAACCAAAGGGAGTATTATTTGGTGTCTCCAATTTGTTTTGTGTAGGATACTGATATCATACTGGAAAGCAATCAAAAATGCCTTTTGATCCACTGGTTATTGTCATCTTAAGTGTTGAAATTTCAAATATTTCATTTGCAGAAGACCTTCAAATTTCTGACTGTTCCTTTAATGAGCAGGCATGGCAATGCGCTAGTGGAAAGGAGATTGCTTGGAATCTTCTGTCATTGATCACCACTTCCGGATTTCTATGTTTAGAATTAAGCCTGGTGGGTTTCTTACTTCAGGAGAGTTATGCGAATGGGCTGGAAGCTTTAGCACGTACTTTCACTATATCAGGGATCATTGTTGGCGTCGATATGCTTCTCAAGGTAACTTCTCAAAATCAATTGACCATGTTAAATATTGCATAATCCTCCATTGCAACAGGAGCAGTGATGAAATACTAAGATTAAATAGCATTTTGTTACTGCAATACATTGTTGTCTGAACATAATCTACTTGTTGATTTGCTGGTTAGTCTGGAATCAATATTACCACATTAGTTTTCGTAACTTCATTACACTAAAACAGAGCTCCTAGAAAGGGTTCTTAGAACCTCTTAATGTTCTAGGGCACTTATGGTGTTCTGTGCAGTTGTAGATAGACTACAAATTTATTGATCTTAGTGGGAAGGTGAGTTTTTCTTACTAAGGTCAAGATCAAGTGATTTTGTCGTTTTTCTTTTTGGTACATATGACGAAGTCCAAGGGGGGAGGGAGGATTCAACCTTTATGCTCCTAAAGAGGGGTAATAATATTTGGATCACCTTTTTTATATCTGGACAGTTTTGGAAGAAGTTGGGCCAGTGAGGTGCTGTTGCAGATCTTTTGTCAATTTCAAAGTAAATGCATACTGATGGTTTCTAGAAGCTTAGTTTTCTTGGTCAAAAACATAGATTGATGGTAAACCCTCAATTAGTTTCCATGACTTGCATTCTGAGAGTATACTTGTAGTTTTTATGAGAATATTATGTGCTTTTTGTCTTTTATGCTGTGGAGTTTGTAAATGTTCTTCAATCATCATGAAAGTTCATATTATTCTCAGCCTTCTTTCTTGAATGATTCTTTTGTAGGCAATATTTATTTTTGGATTTGGGGTCCCACTCTTCTTGGATGTTGGAAGCACCCACCAGATGAAGTGGGGCCTATGGATCATCCAGAAATTATTGCTTACAACAGTTTATGGCTTCATCTTGTTTGTGCCTTTCTCAAAATGGAGAGAGAAATTGCCTCGTGAGTTGATTCACATATCGTTAATTAAAATGCAGCTTTCTTTTCTTGATTGCACCAACATTCTATAACTCTTCAATGTTCTTTCCATTTACGCAGCCAGACCAGCATTCTACAACTACGTAGCTGTGATGTTTGTTGTTAACGCTATTTCACTGCTTGCTTGTGGTCTTGCTACTATCGGAATAGGCTTTGGCATTTGGTAGGTTATGTTTCTTTTTACTCTTTGGATTGAAGCATTTGGTACTTAGTATTCGTACATCAAAGTTGCATATACAATGGAAAGAGACCATGAACGCAGGTTTGCATGCTAAATCTTCTGCAGGGTGTACAATTTAACAGTTATCTGCTATCACTTGCTCTATCTCCCCTTCCTGTATATAACTTTTCTAGCAGATTTTTTCCAGGTAATCTTTCCCCAAAACATTGGTAATAATCTCTTATGGTTTTCCCCCCAATTGTGCAGTAATAATAACACAGTATGTTGTGGATGACCAGGAGGAAGATTTTCTTTTGGATAATGCATATTACTCTGAGATGAAAGATGCCGGATTCTTTGATGCTGATTGGGATTAGTGCATAAAACTCTGCATTGAAGTGTTTGTACGCTTGCTAAGAGCATTGGTTGCACAGTTTGTAAATAGATGAACTTAAAGGCAACATACTTTTTAAGTGGAGTGATTCTTTATGAAATTGTAATCTTCTCCTTGAATCCTCAACACTTCTTTTGGTACTTGCAAATGGATGCTGCTGCAAGTGCGTTTGGTTTATATACTTTGATAATACAAGCTGGACAATTGCATCATAGATGCTTAGAAATTATTATTAGTGTATAAATATGTGGGCAGCCCTTAGCTGCGGAACCGAGCCGAAGGTTATGCAGGAACTGGAACCTTGTCATCTCAAGTTGGAAAACATTCTGAATCCCCATCTCCTTCAGGGCTTCCTCATATATGCTAGAACTGTTTGACATGTTTGCCTTCCTTGTCATTAACAAAAACATGTCTCAAAACTTCGCAAACACAACTAGAAAATAGACCTCTAAAACTGATATGGTAAAATATTTTCCAAGCCAACTCCATCCTGAGG